TCCGAGTGTAAATGACGGAACAAAGAGTTTAATTATTATTTTACAATTTCCCTTCGTAGTGGTTGAGACTTCAGTTCCAGACCTGTAACGTTTAGAAAGAGCAGCGGCTTATAAATGGCTTTGACATGTTTTGATGCAACCCGGCATGAGATGAGGACATAGATTGTGTGTGTGTGTGTGTGTTGTTCCACATGCACTTATTGTATTGTCTTGTTGTCCATTGTCTTACTGTCCAATGTCACGCACCAACCGCCAAGTCAAATTCCTTGTATGTCTGACGTATTATGGCAATAAATGTCCCCGATTAGGCGAGTCCACCTTTCTGCCCACTGCATGTGGATGTTTTCCTCTCTTCTTTTGGGAATCAGATCTCAGCTTTAAAGCTCATGAACACAACGCGTGTCTCACGTGTAAAAGCACGATATCCAGGGAGACGGTTACTTCCTGTTTCCACCTCCCACCCGGCCATATGCCGGCCAACACAGCCGGAGCCGAGGGTCGGGACTCTTCCACACTCCCGTCACGCTGACTTATGGCACCAACACCGTGTGGCTAACAGGAAGCAGACGAGAACCCACCAAAGCTGTTACAGCGTGAAGCAGGATGGATTGCTCTGGGGGCAAAACACAAGCATGAAATCCCCTCAGTTTCTTGTTCAGGAACCAACGTCCTTGTTGTGACCAAACAGTCCAACATCCTTCTCCTCTCTTCACTGCTTGGTAACAACGCGTCATCAATGTAAAGATCCTTATCGTTCCCTTTAAGATGCGCCTTTATTTTGAAATCCCAACAGCACATTTGTGTTTCTTCCTACGGATGCTGATGCTGTTCAGCCGTCGCCATCTTGTTTTTGTTCTACCTGTGAAGAGACGTAGAGGCGCTGAATACGTTTCTGATGACCTGTCAATCACTGTGTAGCCCCGCCCTAAAGCCTCCATCCCCTGCTTCATGGTCTCTTTGACTCTAAATGACCATGATTCACTAAAGAAGAAGGCTTGTGTTAACATTTTATCCCAAATCAAGCCGAGCAGCTTCATCAGTAAGCGCAGAAACCTGCTGAAGGAACAATGGCGCCGCCGGCGGCACATTCTACGGTTTTAATGGCGGCATCAGAAAGAAGCATGAACGGCGTCACAGCGCCTTTCTGTGAACCCACTCCATCGCCTCGGTTCTGATTGGACCTCGTGCTCTTTGTGGAGGTGGAAGAGTCCACTGAGCGCATCGTGTGATTGTGGAAAGCAAACCGTTACCGTCGGTAACGAACCGACCCAGGGTCCTGTCTTCAGGCTGGGGGGGAGACTCACCGGTGAAACCATGGAGGGAGAGAAGTCCTGTTTACACATGTTGGTGTGAAGTAAACACACACAAACAAACGTACATCACGTGAGTCTTAAGAAAAGGAACAAATGAAGTTCCTCCTCTCTGAGGACACCAGACGCCGTGTGTATAAGTACATGTCAGTGTGTAAATATACGTAGGAATGTCATGCGGCACAAACACTCATGTAGATGTCGTTATTCTGAGAGGTGATGGACGACAGAAGAAGCATTTTAAAGCGTCTTTGCTCGTCTCTCTGCAGACAGAAGCAACAAAACATGGATTCAGACTTACAACAAATAATCACCGTTATTTCTGCTTCTCCTCTGTCCCTTTACTGTGATTCAATTACAGGAAAATAGTTTATTCAGGGTTCATAAACCAGTTGACGTGAGGCTTTCTGAATACAACTAGGTGATAACATGAGAGCACAAATACAACAACATGAAGTATAATGATTTAAAAATATGTGCGAAACAGAAAGAAGAAAATGAGTTTTGTTTGTAATTGAGAAGCTGCGTTATGAGAAATGATTATCACATGTTCTCCTGTCGTGGCAATAGATGTTTTAAAGAGTTTACATGGTTTTCCACTAATATATTTTTATATAATATATTTATCTTTAGTTAAACAAAAGGACCAAACAAGGGAGAGAAAAGTCTCCTCTGTATTTTTAGGCCGGAGCAATAAACCGAGGTTATCGAGGCGCCGTGTTTGTGCTGAGGACGGATGTGTCCCTCGTGTATTCGGGGGGAGGGTGGGGGGGCGGGTAGAGGACGCCCGGAGTCGTCCCCGCCCGGCCTTATATGGAGGGAGTCTGAGGCTGCTGCAGCAGCAGGGTCAGAGGTCAGCTCATGACTCGATGTAAACCAAAGTGTACTCAGTGAGTTCCAGAGGAGCCGAGGCGGCGTGACCGCGGGTGGAGCTTGTTTTGGGGAGCTGCTTGTAGATCTGAGGCGGCGGGTGGAAGCTCTGGGTGGAGCTCTGGGTGGGAGCTTCTGGGTGGGAGCTCTGGGTGGAGCTCT